GGACGTGGCACACCCTTGGTGTTGCACACGTTGCTGAGGCGTTCCTTCGCAGCATACGTTTCGTGGGCAGGGCTTTGGACTAGGAGATAAGTGGGCGTGATGTATGTTGGCCATTGGATACCCGTTTCACCTAACGTCCATTATGTTCGCTCGACTCACCCCGCGCGGTGTGCAGGCGGCTAAGACCATCCAACTTTACTCCAGCGGCAGCGGAGACGCCTCAATCGCGTCGTTTTTCACAGAAGTGTTCATTGGGCAGGATGAGATCTCGAACGACTCCACCGAGCTCATGACACAGCCTCAGATCGAGGCTATTTTGGAGCCTTGGGCCATCTCCTCCTCGGGCATAAGCGCCGACAACTTCCACATGTGAGTGAGGAGGGAAGTTCGAGGTTTCCAGAACTACACGTAGTTCTCAGCGTCTGTTGTCAACTGGGTACAGTCGCGCAAAAGATGCCGAGGAATGAGCTTCCTTGTTGACGCCAACCCGCCCATGGCGACCGCCACGCTCTTTCGGTGGGTCCTCTACGGCGGTGATCAGTGCCTTTGGGCCCAGCTCCATGTGTCGTCGCAAGTTGAACGTGCAATCTGATACTTGTACTCTGTATTTATCTCTAACTCTGAAACGTCACTCCTACTTTACAGCTTGCGTTGTGACTTGGCATTTGAAACCATGTGCTGGGTTTCCCGCGAATTTTCGCATGACTTCAGTACATCGGCACCGGATACCTTTCAAGAGGTTGCCCTCACAACAAGTTTGGGCTGCATTATATATAATAGGTCAACAATAAACACGGTGTTTCACACGAACGTTTCGACATGCGACACTTTCCGAGGAAGGAACGGATTGATTGCTGGGCTACAGCACTGATGCTGTACGAGTTGTTGGATGTACGAAAAAGGGACAATCGAGTAAACAGTTTTCCACGACGTCCACCCCAGTCTCTCTCGTATGTTGTGTACCTGCCTGAGACTCATGTCCAGTCCAGCCCAACGTTACATACATCGTGTCTGATGAGCCCATTTTCTTGGTTTTCGCGGCCCCACCAAAATGCGCAGGGGCATGGCCGACACCGAGGTTGAGATCCAAACGCGAAATCAGTTCAAGTACGGATGCCTTCATGGTGTGGACGGCACCCCTCAGGTGTACATAGGAGGCATTTTGGCGACTGGGTTGGACGGGGATGCCACGTTCCAAGACTGGCAAGACATACTCGACCCTCTTCTCAGTAGAGCGTCGTCGGCACTACCCTCGTTCAAGGGGTGGGCTGCTCAAAGCGCCGAGTGAATAGCACTCCGCAGGTGTACATAGGAGGCGTTTTGGTGAGTGGGTTGGACGGGGATGCCAAGTTCAAAATGTGGTAGGACTCTCCCAGGACTTCCCCGACTCTCTTCTCAGTGGAACGTCTTCGCCAGTGTGGTTCATGGTGGGGCTGCTCGTAATGTAGCGTGAACAACGCAGCCACATGCGTACACGTCTGTCGCACGGTTTCCACGAGAAAGCCGCCGCAGGCAAGATTGCGCGGTTTTCATTGAGGTGAGACGTGACATCACGTCCACATGGTGTTGTATTTTGCATGAAATTGTCGACTGTTTCCAGCAGCGTGTGAGTACGCGTCGTATGATCTATAAGCATGCAACAGTACACAAAGCAACCCACGAAAAGAGCGTCAAGAAGTCAGAAGCCAGCTCCTACACACTACCGTGTCTTCGCGGCTGAATCTACGAGATATCAAATCCCTCAGTTAGGTACCTTGCTCGGACCGGGGCCGACGAATGCACACGAGATGTAGGCGACAGTCGACGAAAGGAAACGCCAGAAGGTGAACACAAAACAACCCATTCATACAGTCGCGGCGAACCATCACGAGCGCTGCTGCTTGATCCAATATACACAGTTAACGTCTAGTCAAGCCACCGGCTTCGTAGCCTTTACTTTATACGCCGACAACAGCATTTGCTGTAGCCCTCTTCCAGTACGCCTTTTCCCCTAACCACACAGCAAACACGCACTCCGTAAAACGACAACCCCTGAACAACAAGCAGCAACGCCCGCTCCAGGTGACAACTGTGTCGAGAAACACCCGCCTCCAGTAGGAAGGCGGCTTAGGTCAGGAAACGTTCTTCCTGCTTCTACACGCCTCAAACAGACAATATATTCCTCTAAAGTGGTGATCCGAACATTCAAGCCGGGGATTGCGACGCGATAAAGTCTACCACCACCTACAAAGGTCGGAGTAGAGAGTAAAGGGAGACAAATGAAGACGAATTAAACAATACAATGAGCACTATAATATACTGCTGTATTACATCGACAGGGAAATGAACAAACCAAAATTCCACCCGCGTGCACACTCCGGCGCGCAGACTTCACCCAACAGGAGTCTCGAGCCGAACTGGCTTCCCTCCATCTTTGTGCCTCGCCCTGTGACACCCCGGCCACCACGATCTGCTCGAGCGACCCCGAAACAGATTGCCGGACCGCTGTTTCGACGCCAACGTCTAACACTGGCCCATGAAATTGTCCATGACGACGAGCGTGAGGGTTGAAGTCGAGGAGATAGGCCAGTATCGCCCACGTTCACCGCGACGACCATATCCCTCGGGGAACGGGGCTGAGAAAGTGCCACCACAGAACAGCGCCGCTCAAAGGCGGTTTCCGGTTTGCTTATTCCGCAGGATGAGTTTCGGCAATGAGCCCCCTCTCCCTGAGGGACGTGCTGTACGCGTCCGCCATTTCCTGGTGCCAAATTCCGACCTGGGCCATGCCATTGTCATTCGCCTGTTGACGTCGCAAAAGCAAACCACATGGGGGGGGGGATTGGGGGATGTCCTCAGCAGGGCAACATCGCTCGCATCACAGCAGAAAAAAACATGGAGCACTCGGAAAAATAGGCTGGCATACAACACGCCTCCAGAATGAAGCGTCCATGAACAGACTGCCAAGTTGCAAAAGGCAGGAACGGTGAGGTTGGTGTGAACCCTTTCTCAAACGGAATTCAAGCATTATTTTGATGCGCGAGTGTGTGGCTGTGCACACTGCTGCTCTTGTCGATTGTCACCTGTTCCAAGAATATTTGTTACATTCTTCCCGTGGCCCATTTCTACACTCGCGGGCTTGAAGATCTGAAGCTCGGCGAGACACAAGAGTTTGTAGCACAGCAGGGATGCCATATTGACGAGTACAGTCCCCTGACTGCTGTACGGTGTTGTTCTGGATGATTATCCACTAACCAGGCCAAAAACGTTGCGCTAAACGAGGATATTTTTCTCATCGCGTGCTGAGTTCGAGTACGCGCCTCCGGGTCATCGCGAGCAAGGCTCTGGGGGACGTGAGGGAGCAGGGGCCGCAGCGAGTCGTTGTCGTTGCGGTGGGAAACGTGGGCAGGGGTCATCGTCGTGCCGCATTCGTGGCAAACGCCTACAGTGTCGGAGGCCAGCTCTCCTGACCCAGCACTCGGTTGGGTCAACGTGTTTGTGCACCGTGGATGGTACGGCTTACCCGGTGAATTTTCCGCCATGAACTTGGTGCGATGGAGGCGGCCACGACATGGATGCGAGATATCGCGATTGGCTATATCTCGCATCGCAGGCGTGACCGCCTTCACCGAACCAACTTCATGGCGAAGAGGCCATCGTGGCCAGGAGGTGGAGCGCGGGGCCTGCTGCACTACGGCTTACACGGTAAAATTTCTGGCGTAAACCGCCTCCGTCTTCATCGGAAAGGCGTCGGCTTCATCGGGTTTGTACATCTGATGATGCTGCAGTGATGATCTCGGTCGGCAAGTTGGTCCAGTGATAGCAGCCACGCCTGCGATGGGAGATCTCGAATAGCAGGCGTGGCTACGATCACTGGATCAGCTTTATGGCCCAGAGGTCATCGTGGCCAGCAAAAAGACCACAAAGCTGATGGAGTGTGGGGCCTGCTGCACCGATCTGATTATGCTGCAGTAATGATAAATGTCCATTATTATGTTGGTCCAATGAGGGCGGCCACGCCTGCGATGCGAGATATCGCAAATTGCCATATCTCGCATCGCAGACGTGGCCGCCTTAACTGAATCAACTCCAAGGCGCAGAGGCCATCGTGGCCAACGGGTGGAGCGCGGGGCCTGCTGCACAACGTATTACGCGGTGAAATTCCGACACAAAACTCCTCCGTCTACATCGGAGAGGTCTCCGCTTCATCCGGTTTGCAGTTTTGATGATCCTGCGGTGATGATATTTTCCTTATGAAGTTGGTCCAGTGATTCAGCCACGCCTGCGATCCGAGGACGCGAAATTTTGCATGGCAGGCGTGGCCGCCTTCGCTGGACCACCAACATAATCGCGCCGAGGCCATCGTGTCCAGCAACAAGTCCATAAAGCGGATGGAGTGCGGGGCCTGCTGCACCGAAAATTCACTGCGTAACCGTACCATGTAGGGTGTACACGCACGTCGACCCGACCGAGTGCTACGAGAGTCAGAACAGCTTGCTGACGACGATAGTGGCCGTATTATATAGCTGCCGCTGCCGCGGAGCCCGCACGACGGACAACGCCCGGCGCACAATCCCCGCAGACAGAGGCAGCCATAGTCATTCGCTGCGGAGATTACGTCCTCACGGTCTGCCGCGCCTTCCTCAACATGGCCCAGAGGCTTGTAATCCATAAGAAACCGCACACACTACGACGATAAGGGAAAACACGGAGTTTAAGAATGCCAGCACGACCAAATCCAAAGTTCGTTTGCTATCGTTCCAAAAAAAAACCAGTCTTGGGAACGGTTCCTGCGAAAAAAAATCAAGACTGCGTCGCGCTACACCTTTTGTACATGGACGAGGATGACGTTTCGTTTCAGGTAAATTGGCTTCTTCGTGTACCTGTGGCTGTAAGCTGCCACAAATCCAGTACATGATTCACGATCACTTGACGATCTATTTTTCTTCGCCTCACACCAATGGAAGAAAAAAAGGCAATCGTTCACCCCGTGTAGGTGGTCCACTTGCAACCATGTGCTGCTTACCAAGGGTGTGTAGCAATCCTGTTCGTTTCTGACGAGAAAGAGAAAGCAAGGCGGGCACCAGATTCCCAAGCTTCGGGCTGTCCTAACAAAAGAGCACAGACTACGGCACACTATGTGATTGACCTGTCGACACCGGTAGCATACAGCGGAGCAATGGCACCTTTCATGTGCCACCAACAAGGGCAGCAGGTGTTGTGTAGCACCCCCACCCACCTGTTGCATGATGTGGAAGGCGGTGGCCTCACTCAAACCGACCACCTGCACAAGGGACCTCGAAACGTACTCGCGGGTGTTGCCGTTGTCGTTGAACAGCAAGACCTTGTACTGCCAATACAGTACCAAGCGAACACACACCCCATGCAGCACGAGCGGACATCGTGACAAACAGAACAAGGAGCGTGTGGGTCAGAGCAGGGGGCAGGGGAAGACTGCGGTGTGCTCCTCCGGGGTAACTACCATTTCACAGCGTAAGCGCCTGCGAATCAACCTCATTGAGCTCAGAAAGCGACATTTGGAGCACCGCTCGAAAACACTTTCGCGGTCACGCAAAAATCGTGATTTGTGTGCTTGTTGTCAACATTCCATTCCCTGCTCGGTACCAAAAATACACATCCGTCCTGGTCCACTGGCGCGGACGCCTTCCCCTGCCACAGGCCATCTACCCCGGCCCGCGAAAAGGGTTCTACTATTGCTGCTGTATGCACACGCTGCATGCACAAGCGGAAAATCAAGTCGGGGGGGGGAGGGATGATTCAGAAAACACACACCCACTACGAGATATGTATACAAGTCCACGAGATAGAATGGAGCGGGAGAGACGGCTCGAGGTTTCACAGCCCCTGTGGTGCTTTACCACTGCTGTTGGCAGCAAGTTAATTGAGCTACGGAGGGAGCGATTGAGCGAGGGGGGGAGGGAGGGAAGGAGAGGTCACCATGAAAATATATACCTTGTCCTCGGGTCTGATGGACGTCTCAAACGAAACCTCCTTCTTGTCCAGAACTCCGATCGAAGGCCCGGCCGTCTTGACCTCCGGCACGGCCACGCCTGCCGCCATGTTGAGGGCCTGGCACGCGCCCCGTCGGCAAGACAACAATTACAAAACGAACCGTATGAGGAACTGCTGTGCCGAACTTTCAGGGTTGATCGAGGGAGGACAGGCTGTCCGCTGTCAGTATGCGCGTGTGATACAGTAGTTTTGAACGTGTGTGCGAAGGGACTTCCCATGCTCATTCACTGCTGTAAATGCTGCCTGATGCTTTGGGTGGTGATCAGTGCGAAGAGTTTCTGACCATGGGTCAACCCACAGAGTGAAGCCGAGCATTTGCGGCGAAAAGAACCCTCATGTGTGACATGACGTGGCGAGAGCGTGGTCCCTCGGCCAACGTCTACATTCCCGCTTCCGTCAGGGTACACGAGAGTTGTGCCCAGCTCTTGCCTCACGCTGCACTCAAATTCAGTCGAAGCATGATGACGTTCTACCACACTCCGTACAATGCTGTTGGATACTACTGCTGTACATAACGTGGAGAGGGTGAGGGCGGGTGATTTCCATATTGAAGTTTGATACCCCTGTCTAAAGCATACATAGAGGCTCGCTGAATTATCCGATGTACGCGCAGCTCACGCCCGGAGCAGTTCACACAAAGCGGTTGCGGCCGGAAACAGAAGTGTTCGGGGCTGAAAAATTGCAGACGCCAAGCCTAGAGGTCGCGTTTTCAAGATGAAGAGCTATGGGCGGTGAGGGAGGCTCTATTTCACGCACAAGACGAACAAACACGTCAGCGCCATCTCCAAGAACAGCAGTTCACCACATTCTCATGCCAACAACAGCCATGAAATCTACATCAGCCCTCGAGGGTGGAAGAGCCACGTAACATGAAATTCGCATCGCTTGTGCTTAACTAGAACTCCACCCCCCCCACGACAAGGCAGGAGTACGTCCTATTCCTGTGCTCCTCTTACCGAGAGGGGTCGCCCCGGTGCGGCAGCGGGTCTCATGGCGGTCCATGCGGGAACAACGAAGGCGGTTGATGCGCAGGCCACCAGCGCGAGAATCAACATTTGCAGTGGGCGGAACATTATTGCTGTGTGCTTGGGGGTCGTCTGTGGGGCGTGCGCGATCGAGAGGGGTTGTGCTTTGAGTTGCTTTGATGCCAGCTCGCGTGAGGGGCGGGGGCTTGGGGAGTTGTTTGGTGTACTCTGTAGTTGCAAGGAGGGTACAGATCAACTGGTTGGACGACTTTTTCGAGGGAAGAATGCCTCCTTCCATATTTTTTCCTGTCGGGCAACCTCCTTCCCTCGCCGAAGCCGTCAGCGTTCGTCTACGCCGTCACCAGGTCACGAGTCAACAACAACCCTATACCGAGACCCCCCCCGCGACACGACTAAGCTTGTGCGACCTTCCTCCGTGAAACCTCTAGGCCCGCGTCACAGGCAGCAGGCTCTTTTGTGTTGTAGCTCAGCTCCCCTGATCAGTGCGTGTTGACGTTGGGTCAAATATGACCTCTCGAAGCAGCACAGCGCTGGCCGTGCTCGGCCTCCTGGCGGGGTTCGTCAACGTAGATGCTTTCCGTCTGATTCCTGCGGCGCCCGGGGCGGTGTCCTCGTCGCACATTTGCGCGAAGACGACGGTGGCCAGCCTCAAGCCTCCGGCGAGGAATGCGTGGCGAGCAAGACATGGCCTGTCAATGAGCTCCACTTCGTCAGCAGTGGAAAATGCGGGAGCCGCGACCGGGGAAGTTGACGACAGCAAACCCCCTAGGGCCAGCGTGATGGACGAGTTGGATGCTATTCTTGGCGACGTGCAGCAGGTGAGGGGCACGCCATCGGATACGTGCGACGGGCTGGTCTCTCGGTGCCTGCGCGGGTGCCCGTACGTCTTATCTGGGTGCGATATTCCTGTGGGTTGACGGCTTGCCCGTTTCGGCGCACCGCAGGTTGACGTTGCCCTCGCACCCAGCCAACCGATGCACGTCGAGGTCGGCGATCGAGACACCAGCAGCGTAGCTTCCTACGTTGCCCAGGCCCCCTTGCGCAGCTTGTGAAGCTGATGTGTTGCGGGGCGGTAGCTGTTAGTGTTTGCCTCCTGCTGTGGTATTTGATTTCCTTTCTTCGGGTGGGTCGGTGCCCTAGGACCATTCACCCTCGATGTACGCATGCAATTGGAAATCACACGTGTATACAGCAACAGCAGTGGCACACATCATGCGAGCCGCACGTTTGTGCTCTTCCCCGAAGACATCACGTTGGAGCCCTCCTGGATAAGATGAATTGGATTCGGGTTTGGTTCAGTTATAAACGGCAGTTATGCCCTTTGGTGAAGTGCCCAAGAGGAAAGGGCCATGAATCATGTGTCGGGTCATCATGTGTGGACTACGTGCGCTGGTCCGGCACCGTCTCCGAACACAGAATGTTCAATCTGGCACGTCCCAGTGACGAGGTCGCCCCAACAATTATCTCTTGAACCTCGCCCTGTCAACACCATCTCTTGGCCTCCTCGAGACTCCATGCGTCAATGTGCCCTTGCTAATTGGTGGTATGTGTACATTGTCGCATTGCAAAATGAAAGTTGTTGGGTCCGCCGTCCCGTCAACCTCCGTTCATGGTAACTGACTGGAACCTTGGTTACTGACTGCGCGAAGACTACACGAGCGGCAGCAGTGACATACGTAGCCTACATGTTGGCACACCCAGCAGCTCTCCACAGCCCCTCCCATCCCTGTCTCAAGCTCCCATTGTTGCATGATACCTCGCAGCACTGCGTTCCATTCCGGATGTCCATGTAACCTCCCTCACCACATGTGCGTACTCCCCCCCACCCCCCCCCCCCCCCCCCCCCCCCCCCCCCCCCCCCCCCCCCCCCCCCCCCCCCNCCCTCGCGACACTTTCGACGTCTTGGACTGCTTCAGGACTCCGGAACCAAGCCTGCCTCAGGTGGCGGCATGGGCGCCGCCGCGCCCCTCGACCAGGACCTCGATTCCCTCCTCGGGTCTGCAACTTCAGCTCCGCCGGCGACCGCGATGGCGGCAAAACCCAAGAACAGCGGCTTGGATGACCTAGACCTGGACGATTTGCTCGGCCCGGGAGCAAACTCCGCGCCGCCGCAGCGATATTCGGGCGGTGGCACGGCCGGAGGGGGAGGGTCGTTCCCCGCCGCCGCCCGCGGGCCGCCGGTCGGCAGCGCGTCCTCGGACGGGCGGCAGGCGTGGGGTGCGCCTGGTCAGCAGCAGCAGCAGCAGCAGAGGATGTCGTACAGCGGGGAGTTTGGTGCGGCGAGCGGCAAGTACGGCGACACCGCGGCGCGGACGGCGAGCAAGGAGTTGAAGGGGGACCAGATGGTCTCCTTGGTGGAGGTAGGGGAAGACGGGGCGTGCCCCGTGGAGGAAAAGGACGTGGACCCCAAGACCGTGGCCGCGCTCAAGGCTCGCGGAATCGAGAAGTTCACCCCCGTCCAGGTGGGAGAGCGACGACACGGCCGGTTCGGTCTGGTGGTTGCATCGTACATATGACGAACTGAGAGTCATCGTGTTGAGTGGCGCTACCGTATCTGCCCGGGCGTCTGTGCCGCGTCTAAGTTTATTTTACGCCTGTGGGTATCTCGATTGTTTCTCCTTGCCGGGTATAGGTGTAATTCCTCACGACAGACACGGAAGTTTGTTGTGGAACGAAGTGCTGGTCGGCAACGCTTGGTGGCATATTCGTCGCCAAAGCAACCACCGCGTTCTCCAACATGTAGCAACCTCACAGCACCGAACGAGTGAATACTCTCCTCACGCAACGATTGTTTTTCTTCCCGCGCGCAGGCCATCACGTACGACCACATCCTGTCGGGGCGCGACATCATCGGCAAGTCCCGCACTGGTACGGGCAAGACCATCGCCTTCGGCCTGCCGGTCATCCAGCACCTCGGTCGCTTTGCCGAAGACCACCAGCAGCGCACTTACCAACGCGGCAGGTCGCCCCGCTTCCTGGTGGTGTGCCCAACGCGAGAGCTGGCTCGTCAGGTGTGATGGTATTTACTGGGTCTACGGGGTTGGTATCGATTTTCTTGGTTGGTTAGTTTTCAGCAGTCCGAGGCCCTGTGGACGGGCGGTGTGATGAATCAGGTTCGACTGCTTTCCACTTGGTGTCGGCCAGCCTTGTTTGGTCGTCGCAGCGTTGGGCCTACCTTTCGGTGCTTGCTTCGCGTGTACTTACTGTACGTGGCGTTCAGCACGAACAGCGTGAGCCAAATGTTCCCCCAAGCTTTTGTTGGTCCATCATGGCGCGATGGTTGGGCTCGTTTGGTGTACATGCATCCTACACGACCGCAGCAAGGAATCCAACAAAGTCTACCACTGTGTTGTGTCTGAAAACTCTCTCCCCTTTGCCGAAAACCCTCCCCCCACGCGTCGCAAACAACGCACGCCAGGTGTACGGCGAGCTGGAAACTCTGGGCAGCACCTTCGGCCTCAAGGCCGACGTCTTCCACGGCGGTGCCGCCTACGGTCCCCAGATGAGGTCTCTCTCGGACGGCCTGGACATCCTGGTGGCCACGCCCGGCCGCATCATGGACCACCTCCAGAGGGGCGCCCTCGACCTGTCGGACGTGCGGCACGCGGTGCTCGACGAGGCCGACGAGATGCTCAACATGGGGTTCGCGGACGATATCGAGACCATCTTCTCGTATGTCGACGTGAGAGAAAAGCGAGGCTGAGTTGTGGCTTTGGTTCGGGGGGGGGGACTGCGGTTGGAGTACTCCTTTTTTAGCTCTGGTGGGCATGTCTCGAGAGGTTTGTTTGTGTGGTTGGAGAAAGAAGGGTTTCGCGTCGGCTGGTTGATGCTAAAGCATGGCGCCCAATTAAAGGAACGCCAGGTGCTTTGCACGACTCATCTTCTCTTGTGATTTGTCATCCATGTGACCGAGAGCAGAGCTTGTGAGAATAGCATTCGCATGCGGATTCGTCAGGAGTAGGGCCTCTCCTTGGGACAAGAGTATACTGCAGGTTTTGCCGCGGAGGGTGGAATGCCTGTGTTAGATATTCTTGTGCGAGTATGAAAACAAGTTGTGGCTGATGTTCGCCA